ATATTTATTTATATATTCCGTGAGATGAAAGTATTAAAGAAATATGCAACTGTTTCTGACCTTCATTTTTTTTATCTTCCCCAACATAACATGCTCATCATTTAGTTTAGGCAGCAGTTTTGTGTCTCCAATGGTATTGCAGTCCATTTTGTAGACATCAACTATGTCAGACCATTTTGAAATTTCTTCGCCAAATTTAATATTTTTTGTCAAAAAATTATTCCTTATGCCCTTTATGAGATGAGGAGGGTCAAAAATTATATTTAACTTATGGCCACTAATCTCAATTGCTTCATCTGAAAATAAAATTTATAGGTATTATAAAGTTATAATCAATTTCAGTTTTTCAAAAACTGAAAAGGTTCCCTTTAATATCAATTTAGCATTGAGAAGATATCTGGGCTGCAAGAAATGTTACGAAATGGTTTTTAACAGTCTTCAGGTTTGCTAGACAACCAAGAATGACAACTGACTGTATGTTTATGTTTTGTTTGCTAGATGTCCGATAAAGGCAAACTAGGCAGTTTTAGTAATTATAGAATGTTTTTAATTTATAAAGAAATAAATGAAAATTATTATGGAAAAAAGAAAATATATGAAGAATCTGGCAGAGGGGATATTGTATTATAAATCTCCAGTCTAATCCAGTGAGAAAACAGAGTAATATATTTGTATGTACAAAGCACTTCCTGAATATCTTCTTAAATCTTGTTCTATTCCTATTTTTACTTTTATTTCATTAAATTTAAATGAAAAAAGAAATCAATAAGGTATATGTACCTGTTCTATCTCCTGATAGTATTTGGTGTCGTCTTGTCTCTTCTTGAAAGCTTTTCAAGACTGCTTGGAATGCCGTTCCCTGGTCACAGCATAGAGCTACAGGAAGAAGACCTGTGCTTCCCACAGCTTCGACAATTTGTTGTATTATTTCTTTCATCTGCATAGCAGAAGTGGCACCTTTGCAGAAATAGTACGAAATTGGCTGTTGCCATTTATGAACTGCTCCACGCAATAAAAAAACCAATGCATGATCTGCAAATTCATTGGTCCTATCCTTTAGTTCAACAAATCCATGTATTTTGTCTCTATTCTTGTCATATGTGAGACCTGCCTCTAATGCAACCTCATCAAAAAGAATGGAGCAAAATTTTCTAAGCTAAGTTTCAACCTGAAAAAAAATTTGATTATTAGATTGAATATTATATTTCTATAATTGTAACATATAAGTTGGTGGAACTACAATTGCAAATCATGCACTTCCAAAATTTTGTTTATATTCAAAATAATTATTTAAGAATAACTTACCTCTAGCTTGAGAGCCTCAAATATCTTAAGATTAATTCCAGAAGTAACATCTAGGCTAGCTACCACTTTGTTTAAAGTGGTTTTGGATGGCAATATAAACATTTTTTGCAAAAACCTGTAACATTTCGGACTTTGCTTTAAAATGGATAGAGCAATTAATTTCTCTTCATCTGAAAATCGTCTCCCTTTTATATTTTTGTTTGCCTGTTTAATTTGCATCCAAAATAATTTTTGAGCCAATGGATTCATATTTTTAGTCATATTTAAAAAGACTGGTCTTTAGAAAATTTAAGAGCCCTCTGGGTTCTTTTCCTGAAGTCTAGCTGTCGTCTTGACTTCCTGTATTCTTTGTACATCCTTCTACAATTTGGAGTAAGAGATGATATTTTCGGCAGTAACCGGCTTCTATGCTTCTTCTTTGGGGTAGATAACAATGGTTTGACTATGGAATCTGTAAAAATTAACAAATACTATGTACTGTAAGTATTAAATTAGTCAGAAATTAGAAATTATTCTGCAAGTGTAAGGGTAAGAAAAATATTTCATTTATATAATATATACACTAGATCTGTCTGTATAAAATGTTATTGAGTGTAACACACAAAATATTCAGTCAAATAAATAAATCTACTTTCATATGACTTTACCTTTTCTCAAAATTTGTTGAGTGCCAATCTCCATCATTTCAACAGTTTCAGAAGTAGATTGAATCACGGGCATCTGAAAACCTATAAATAAAAATAAAATATTAATGTAACACATTACATTAATGGGTAATGTAAGGTAATGCATTTACAAATTGCAATGATTCATTTTGTTAGTTTATGACCTTTTTGGAAATGGTATTGTACTACTAGTACTGTAAATAACTCTTACCTTCTAATATGTTCAGGTGAATCTGAGAGTTGCTGTCCATTGATCGAGAATAGGTGTGATCCACATGTTTATTATTTTTGATATAATAAGAGTGGTCAATGGAAGGATCAACATATTCTGAAAAAATTAAAACATTTTAAAAATCAAGTTTAATATGACATTATTAATAAGATGTCATTGCTTTCTGTATTGCCTTTGAAAAAAGGGGAAAATTCAAGAAGATAAAAAAGTCCACTATGGCTGATTGGTTTTAAAGGAACTATATCCAAAAATATTAAGCACTGTCGATGATAATAGGACTTGTTCTTTTATTATTTAAAGGTAACATCTATTAAACAAAGAACAAGAAATGTTTTAACACTATCAAATGAAAATAATGTTTTTGTAGTTATTAATATGGAGTTTTTTCTATTTAAATGAAACAATTAAACAAACTTGAGTTTTTTTTTTAAAGAATAAGGGTAACAAACGAGCACACAGTCCACCTGATGGTAAGTGGTTACTGCAGCCCATAGACATCTACATCTATCCTCAATTATGAATCAAAATGCAGATGCGTTGTCACCCATGAGGGCTAATATGGAATGCCTCATTTCCAGTAAAAAGGGTCTCCGGTTCTCTACACTCACCATACAAAACACAGCAGTGTTAAGCTGCTATTTAACACTGGTATTCTAAGAGAGTGTGGTCGAGTCAACCAAATGGAATTATCTTCCTGCTTTAATTCATGAGGCTCAAACAGTGTCAGTGCTTAAAAGGCAAGTTAAAGAGCACTATATTTCATCATTGTTCCAATGATTTAATGCAAGACTTGTGTGTATATGTATGTGTATGTATATAGGTATGTCACCATCATCACCATCATTACAGCCCTTCACAAGTCCACTGCTAAGCATAGGCCTCCCCCAAAGAATGTCACAAAGCACGGTCCTAAGCCACCTGCATCCATCGACTTCCTGCATATCTTACCAGGTCGTCACTCCATCTAGTGGGGGGACGCCCTACACTTCGTCTGCCGGTACGAGGCCGCCACTCGAGAACCTTTTTCCCCCATCGATTTTCGGTTCTTCGAGCTATATGGCCGGCCCATTGCCACTTCAGCTTACTAATTTGTTGGGCTATGTCGGTCACTCTGGTTCTACTACGGATATTCTAATTTCTAAGTTTATCACGCAGAGAAACTCCGATCATAGCCCTCTCCATAGCTCGCTGAGCGACCTTGAGCTTCCTCATTCGGCCAGCAGTGAAGGACCACATCTCAGTTCCATAGGTCAGCACTAGCAACACGCACTGGTTGTTCAGTCTCGTTTTTAAGTTTTGAGGTGTACCTGACGAGAAGATGTGCCGTAATTTCCTAAACGCTGCCCTACCGAGTTGGACTATTTGTTCCAGGTAAACATACTCGTCAACAACTTCGAGCTTAGTGCTCCCAACAACTATATATATGTAACTTATTATCTATATTTTATATTGTGTATATCTTAAAATAATGATAATTTTTATAAGAGTGCAGAATAAGTCTGCTTCTCTTTGAATTGTCCAGTATTGGCCTGCTGGAAGAAATTTCAGTGAAATAGGGAGTTCGTACAAAACATTGTTTTTGTTTTTACTTTGCTGAAACTTAACATTACTTTGTGGGTATATAAATTATTAAATAAATAAATAAAAGAGATGAGATCAGGAAATCATATATTAGGAAAAACCTACTGTATGTTTTGATTAACTGGTCTTTCAAATATTTTCAATTGAAAGTAAGTAAGTAAGTATTCTGTGAGATATGCATAAGAACAAAACATACAAATTATAATGTATGTGTAAATAATTTTAATCATTTATTTCAAACCATGATCCATATGGGTTAGTAAAGTAATTTATAAACTATGTTAGTAACATCATTAACTAATTATAATTAAATTAATTCATATACCTCTGCCCACTTCCCACTACACCAGACCCGCAGTAGTGCATACGAGTCCAGTGTTGCAGGAACGGGCAGTCTGGTTTCTCCACAATAAGGAAGAATTAAAATTTCATTAATAAATGAATGAAAAATTGAATAAAAAAATTACTCACTGCTGTCTTCGTATACTCTTAATGAAACCCCAGTCGTCATTTCATCTTCCGTAAACAACGTGGGATATGCATTACGCTGAAGACGAGATGTTTCAGAGTTAATGAATCGCAACTCAAAGTGTTTATGGCACACGTACAACTTATAAAGTTCTTGAACACTTAAACTATTTAAATTGTCACTATTTATACACCTTAACCACTTATGGAGTCCTATCTCTGATATTGGAAACTTATGTAATTTAACGTCCTTGCGTCTACTACCACAACTTTCAATACAGCACGTATTAAACATTATGAAAATATTAGGTATTATTACAGTTTCAAATTGAGGGGGTTGGCGGAATTCAATCAACGCAACAACACTACACACAACAACAAACGAAACTGTAATGGCAAACAATAATGGCGTCGGTCGGCGCCTGCCGCGTCACGTGGGCAGGCAGAAACGTCAACCTAAGTCAACGCTGTCAAAATCAATTCTTGAGGGCCATAGACATAAGGCTAGGAATATTTATATAGAGATTACCACCCGTGGTCTGCGGTTGAGGTTGGCTACTCCATAGATAAATAAATATGTAGCAAGGGCTACTCTTTAAGGTTCCCGCTAGCTAGCTTGCTACATATATATTTATCTATGGTTCCCGCCTAAGGGTATTAGTGTTCTGTGTTAAGGTTGGCCCATAGATAAATATAGGTTGGCCCACGTGGGTTGGCGTTGGTTTGGCCTCAAGACTCGAGAGTACTTTAACTGTAAAGCGCCATTTTGTTTTTAGTTGAAACAATGAGTGGAATGGAATGAAGAATTTAGTCTAAGGAAGCTGAGAAAACGTGATATATATATTATTTAAGTTTTAATATATATCTTGAATCCTTCAATTCATAAGTTCTAACTATGGACGGGCCTAACCGTGGTGGATTTCGAGGTGGTGGCCGTGGTGGCCCTCCAGGTCTCAGAGGAAGAGGAGGGTTCGATATGCGTGGGCGGTGAGTCATCTGCCGTTTTATCTTTTCCCTTGAAAGTTTAGTTTTCTGAATGTAATTATTATTAATCATGCTAGTAGTTTGTAAGGGATAATATAGCATAGCATTTTTTCTAGTGGCGGGCCTGGAATGAGAGGCCGCGGTGGCCCGCCGCGTGGAGGTCCTGGTCCACGTGGAGGTCCTCGAGGCTTCAGAGGTGGTCCGATGCGTGGAGGTGCAGGAGAAAGAGGTGGCCGCTTCCCACCCGGACCACAAGGCCCTGGACCACATCCAGTACCGACCATTGAAACACGTGGTGGTCCTCCACAAAGTGAGTATTTGTTTTTTAAGAAATTTCTCCAGTAGAAGTTTTATGTTATAAATGTCTTTAAAACATATACCCTACTATTGTACAGCATTGTTAGGTTTGTGTTGTATATGTATACTACATTTCATTGTATCGTCTAAATCCGTATATACACTCTTATCTATGAAAGAAGTGTAAAACAAAGGTGTGACCAGATGTATGATTCTGCTGTTCTTAACTATAAACAAAACTGCTAAAACCTGCTATTTTTCACAACAGTAGGAACTAAAAATCATAAAATATTTTTAAAGTATTTTTATATTATACTACATATTTTAAATTAAATTTGTGTCTTTAAAATACTATAGAACATTCAATATAGAAGTATAATACATTTTCCCCAAGAATGAATTGCCGACTCTGGATTGAGTAAATTGTACTATTTTGCTTGTGTCTGTTTTTATCATTTAGAGTGAATATCACTTTTCTATTTTAATTACTTATGTATATATTAATTACATTTTTATGTATTTTATATATTAATTTACTTAAATTTCTCTTTGAGACTAGGTGTTAAAATCATAAATTGCTCTTATAGTGTTCTTCTGTACAACAAGTAATTTTTAATTTTAAAACTTGTGTATGCTATATCGTTAATATTCTTCATTGTTAATAGACTTTATTTTTGTCTCTTTTAAAGGCATTAGTGCAAAATCAGCATTTTTTTGAAATTGATAAAAATGGCTGTTCCATTTGTTACATACATATAGATATTGTATTATGGTTGTAACCAGATGGTATTTTAGGAAGGTAGCAGCTAAATGTTGGTGTTTAGGTAAGACAGGTTTTTGGTGTATCTTCATTATTCATTGTCTAATCACATATGGTGCTCAAAAAAAACTTGTTTCTGTGTGTCTTCACCTGACAAGTGTTTTATAGCAAAAAGTATCAGCAATGAAGAATTAATAAAAAAAGAAATGAAACTAGAAGAGAACTAGCTGAACTCTATATGAATTAAGGTGGCTATTCACATAGCAATGGACGGATATAGGTTTTATCCCCCTCCTTTTATAATAAATACTTAAAAATATACAACAGTTTTCAATGCCCAAATATAAATGTAATAATTACCATATAATTCTTTGATTATTTAGGAGGAGCTTTTAACAATCGAGGAGGGCCTGGTGGAGGTATGAGAGGAAGAGGTGGCAGAGGTCGGGGTGATTTTGGACCAAGAAATGACAGAGGGGGTGGTAGGGGTGGCATGCCTATGAGAGGTAAGTAAAAATTATAAAATACTGTCTTTTCACTTAGGACAACCAAGTTGTTCTTTTAATATTTATAGAAAGATTTTTTTTTGTTTTTATAGATTGTCAATATCCTTTTGCAAAAATCAAAATAGGGAATTTAAAGAAAAGAAATTTCAATGTCCAATAATATTTGATTTGATGTAATAATAAAATCTTTTTCTTCGTCTTTATCACCCTTTAACAGTCTGCTGATGTACTTCGGCTTCCCTTTGTTGTAATGCTTTGCCTTGCTGTTTTCTACCCTTTTTTTATAGTCTTTGACACCCAACACAACAAGACAAAACTTTAAAACAATTGTTGTTTTACAAGGTCGTGGTGGTAGAGGAGGTCCAGGAGCACCCATGAGTGGACCCCCAGGTGGTCCTCCTCCACATCCGGGTCCTCATGGCCCCCCTGCACCCATTCCAAGTGGTCCTCCAAATTTGCCACCTAGAGGAGCACCTGCACCACATCAGCCGGCTGGAGCTCCACCTAGTCAACCACAAGGCCCTCCATATAAACGAGGTGGAGGCCCACCACATGGAGGAGGTGGCCCACCAAAGCGTGGAAGGTTTGTAACTAAAATTTTGACACAGATGCAGAACTGCAGGTGTAGACTCTGTAAAGGATTATCTCATTATCAAACGCTCAAGTCTGCAAAATTCATCAATACCCATGCAATGTATGTGATGTGTTCAGGCCACATAATATATCTTTAAGGTCTTAAGTTCAAGAATACATTAGAAATCAAATTAGAATAGTAAAAGAACAATCAACTATCACTAAACTATCATTAGAGCCATTAAATATCATTAGAAAATTAAAGGAGCAATCCTCCTATTGAAAAATTAAAAAAAATTGACAATCATTGTATTTACTTGTATTTTTTTTTTGCTGAAGCACTTACATTATTATGAAAATAATCTTATTTGTTATAAATTTCTGTTTTTGTTTGATTTTCTTTAGGGTAAGTGGAATTCCAAAAATATCAGTCAAAATTAGGGGCACTATTAATAAATATTTATAATAGATTGTTTCTAACTTATGTGTATTAATTGCTATACTTGTGAGAAAAATGTTGTTTATTATAACGACAAAATAGTAAGCTAATGGTGCGTCAAATTTTTTTTTATAGGATTGGGTGACAAATGAGCACACAGTCCACCTGATGGTAAGTTGTTGCTGTGGCCCATAGACATCTACATTTATCCTCATTTGCGAATCAAAATGCAGATGCGTTGTCACCCGTGAGGTCTAGGATGGAATGCCTCTTTTCCAGTAAAAAGGGTCTCCGGTTCTCTACACTCACCATATGAAACACAGCAGTGTTAAGGTGCTATTTTATGCTGGTATTCTGTGAGAGCGTGGTCCTTCCCCAGTCGTGCCGACCCATTCGTGCTACAACTATACTACTAATAATCAGCATGGCTCTACCACGTATAATATAGGGTTAGGAAAAAAATCGTTAGCAGCAGACCACTTGCATTTACAATTTGTTAATTTTTAAACTACATACAATACTGTTTTTTATAGGATAAGGGTAACAAGCAACCACACAGTGCACCTGATGGTAAATGGTTGCTGTGGCCCATAAACATCTACATCTATCCTCGATTACGAATTAAAATGCAGATGTGTTGTCACCCGTGAGGACTAAGATGGAATGCCTTGTTTCCTGTAAAAAAGGTCTCCGGTTCTCTACATTCACCATACGAAACACACAGCAGTGTTAAGCTGCTATTTTACACTGGTATTCTGTGAAAGTGTGGTCCTACCTCAGTTGAGTTGACTCATTTGTGCTACAACTATACCAGTAATATAGCTGCAGCAAGGCTCTACCAGGTAATAATAAATTTAGCATCAAAAATACAACCAAACAAATGTGATAATCTACTTAAAAACAAGTAAAGACATATTAGAAGGATCTAACTAAACATAATATAATTTAATAAAATAAAAAAAATTACAAGACATTATTATTCTTGTAAATTTTTATTTTCAACATATAAAATTTATATTTTAAATATCCCTGTATTTGATGGATTTAGATTTGATGGGCCACGAGGAGGGGGCAGCGCTAGACCTCTGCCACCGGGAGGATATCAAGCTGCCCCTGCACATAATCCCCCACAACCTAATGGTTATGGCCCGCCTGCGTAAGTTAATGTTTACATGTTTTACAATTTACACATAATGATCAAACAATCACAAGTTTAAAAGAAAAAATTTAAAAATGACTGAAATTTTATTTAGCTCCTTTTATAAGCATTTTTAGCAAAATACAAATTGAGGGAAAAAAAAGTTAATCACATTCTTTTTGTTATTTATTTAATCAGTATTGTATGTTTAAAATGAAGTAAAATATAAGTCAAACATAAATTATTTTACAATAGCAACTACATAGCTAGTGATATTATGTCACAGCATTTTAATGATGATCCACATTTTTGATAGGAATGTGCCGTCTGATACATATATGACGTTATTTTATAATCTGATGTTATTTACAGATTTAAATTATATTAGTATTGTTTAGAAATTTCTAAAAAGTTTTTATTAAAACAGGCATACTGGTTACCAGCCGTATGAGCAACCTTCAGCGGAGCCTTTTGCACCACCATCATATAATACACCTAGGTAATTATATTTTCTTTTTTAATATGGCTTATTAATTTTATTAAGTACCTATGATGAAAATATTTAAGATAGGAATTGCCGTCTGATACTTAGATGCCGAAACTTTTCATTCTGATTTATGGTAAAGATTACAAAATAAGCACGTATTTACTTTCAAAAGCTTCTACTACAAGCCTTTTTATTTTCAGTTCATATCAAAGTGGAAGCTATTCTGCTCCAGCTCCAGCGCAAGCAAGTCCTTATTCTGGTGGTTATGGATCAAATTATGGCTATTCTACAGGTGGCCAAGGTGGTTATGAAAATAATGGATATAGGTGAGCATTTACAATAATACTTTAAGTATTTTATAGGTCATAAAGCATTTTATTACGAATTTTGTTTCTTAGGCCTGATAAAGAATTAAAAATTAAATATATTTGTGGCAACTAGTAAACAAAGTGAAAAAAACTGCTATGACTACATATATAGTTGGACCAGTGAAAGTTTATCTGTATTACATTTACAGCCCTCCCCCTTACATTGTGTCATTAGGGATCATTGTCATTGTTGCTGAATTTAGCAAGCAATTTTTATTATTATTGAGTTGTTTCAGATTTCCTCTGTTGCCTCTTACGCGGCACCCTAGAAATGATATAGGGCAGTGGGTTCTCTTTTATCTTATATAATTCATTATTATCTTTTTATAAGTATGAGAAAATATTTATTTATTGTAAATACATGTTTCCAATAAAATTATATATGTTTCACTTGTGGGCGTGGGTAATCGGGAACAGAATTATTATTTTAAAAATAAAATGGTATATGTATAAGTTGCGGATTGTTTGGCAGTGGCGGTGCGGGAGCGGGCGTGGGCGGCGCGGGCGACGCGGGCTACGGCGCCGCGGAGGCCGCGTACGCCGGGCCCGCGCCCGCCTACGACGCCTACGCGCAGCCCGCCTACACCTCCTACCAGCAGCCGCAGCCGCAGTACACCAATAACTATGGTAACTACCACTAATATCAATCTACCCTACGGAACATACTTTATCGCTAATGAGTTTTCATTACTACCCAAACTACTACTCCTGTAGCAGAAAGGTAAATTATTATGTTAAATTTATAGTATGAACAATATTTACAATACACATCACAACTGCCATTAACATTTTTTAAATATAATTTTATTGTCATATTTAGAATCCATGTCTCTTTGGTTGGTGGCCCACACCAAATTCAACATTAGCTCCAAATTCAATAAAAAAAAAGCTGTAAAATGGAAAGAAAAAAACAAAGAAATATTTTAAAAAAATGCCATTTTTTTATCCATCTTAACTTCTGAGTATAGTATTATTGTTGTAGTAAATTGTTAAAAAGTTATACAGCCATAATATTTATATTAGGGTGTAGATCCTATCTATAGAAATATCTATAAAAATCATGATTACAATACTAATTAAAAGGAAAAAGGCTTGCTAAAATGTGGAATGTCATAATGATTTCTTATATTTACGCGAACACTACACATTTAAATAAAACTAATTTTACGGATTTTATCGCGTATATTAACTTATTTTACTTTCCCGACGTTTCAAGCACTTTACAGCACCCATGGTCACGGGTGAACACGTACAGGATCGCCCCCGTCACTACATTAGATTTGATAGACCACAAATCCTCGCTAAAGAACACCGATTCCTTCCAAGGATGATTCGCGAGGCTATTGAAATCAAAAAACATCCTAATTTCAATAGAGAAGATGGCTGGGTGCTACCATCTGCTTGGGATCCCATAATTAATAAAATTAAATCCCAACCCAAGCATACAACTGCAAGACTTCATGATACTGTAAGTTCATACTGCGTAGATCGGAACAAAAATTAATAATTTTTAATCTGGAGGTAGCCGTGGTTAACTATGACATTGGGACGTCATACACCTCAGTCCCCCCCGTGACCATGGGTGCTGTAAAGTGCTTGAAACGTCGGGAAAGTAAAATAAGTTAATATACGCGATAAAATCCGTAAAATTAGTTTTATTTAAATGTGGAATGTCACTTTAACAGGGAAATTTCCTCGTTTACCTTTTTGCTATGGGAGAATTAATTTGACAGAATATCTATCTGTATATAATACAGTAAAACTAAGACAGGGAATATAATATATTAATAATATCTTCAAGATACTTGAACCATGGAACAATGTATATTATAAAAATATACGTTTTTGCAATGTATGTACTATGTACAAGTTTAAAGAAACATGTTTAGGACAGTTAAATAAGCCTAAAAGTGGTTAATAAAATTGTTTCATTTGTGTAATGTAAAAATATTGACAAATATGTGGTTTTAATTATTCAGTAATTCTTACAAGTAATGACATTCAAAAAAAAATAATTTAAATATATTACTTACATAATTTAAGTAAAAATTATTCTAGACATTTGACCAAGGCTATAGGGGTTATTTGACAATTTAATACTTATATACTTACACAGTCTCAAAGGCCCGATTACCGATATTTGACAAATACTGTTTGTAGAAAAGGAACGAAGAGACTAGTATATAAAGTGATTTCTATTGAATTACTTAAGTCTGATTTGCCTAGTGTAACTTCTGGTTTTAAAATAATTGGGTCAGAATATTATAATTAATAGAAAATAATTAATTTACATAAACTGAATAGATAACTGTTTTAATAGGATTTATGTTTACATAAATTATGATATAGTCAAAATCCAATCTAGGTAAGGGATTTTGACATAGGAACAATAAAGGGTTTTTTTTTTATAAAAAAGGAAGAAGAAAAAAGAGAATATTGAGAAAGAAAGATTTTTTAGCATATAGAATTTAGTTCTGAAATTAATATATACAAATAAACTTTTTGTCCAGTAATGTCAGCCAGCTATTTATACGTGATAGTTTTTAGCTGACCTTAAAAAAGGAGGAGGATCTCAATTTGACTGTTCCTTTTTGTATATCTATAACATGATATCTTTGTTAATTGAGGACCAATTTATTTTTTTAATAAATAGTTTATAAATCAGGAGTGATCCTATGCAGATTTAAAGAAAGAGCTTCACCCCTAGTGTAAAAAAACATACAGGATGCAATTTTAATGTAATTTTTTTAAAGAACATTCTAGTTTCTACCTTCAGGTTAGTCCACTCAAAATTAAAAGTTAAAATTACAGCATATATACGTCCGTTTTTTTTTTTTATTAAAAAGAAAGACCCAATTCAAATAACTAAAAAGAATAAAAAAAAATCACTTACAAACTTCTCAAGTCAAAGCTTCTATACACTATGTTTTAGCACTATAGCCCATAACAAAACCACAGCTGACCAAAGGCCTACCCCAAGAAATGCCACAAAGCAAGTTCCTGAGCTATCTACATTCATTGACTTCTTTGCATATTTTACCAGGTCTTCACTTTTTCGAGTGGGGCTTCGTGGGGGGCTGACCTACTCCCATTAATAATACAAGCTCTCCTCGAGAACTTTTTTTCCCCATTGGTTGTAGGTTCTTCGAGCTATATGGTTGGCCCATTACTACTTCAGCTTACTGATACATTGTGCTGTGTCAGTTACTCTGTTTCTACTGCAGATATCTTCATTATGAAGTTTATACTATAGACAAACTAAAAGCATAGCCCTCTCACAGCTTGCTGAGCTTCCTAATATGCCCAACAGTGAAAAACCACGACTCAGATACGTCATCACTGGCAATATGCACTGTTTTTTTAGTTTTGAAGTATGCATGACAGAAGATGTTTCGTAATCTAGCCGAGTTAGATCTGTCAATTACCTCTCGGTAGAAGCTTGACTTACCTAGTGAGACAATTTGTCCTAGGTAAAAATACTCATCATCAACTTTGAGCATAATGATTCCGACAACTAGCTGCGTAGATGTGACGTGGATGGTGCACATGATCTTTGTTTTATCCATGTTTATTTTAAGATCTATACAGAGTAAAACACTATTGAACATTATGCTGAGTTTCTCCAGCGTTAGTCTTGTCCATGTTCATAGAAAATATTAAGTAGAATTTTTTTTATTCTTTTAAGTTCTTTAAAGTTAGTTTTCATATATTATTAACATTTTTGTGATTTCACTTAAGCTAATAAAGTTGGATTTGTATAATTAAAATAATTTATAGACATTTTCATCTTTACATTTTATAAATTAAAAGTCCATTTCTTTGATTTGAAACCATCGCCGCGTCAACTGTAAATTCGTAAAATAATCATCTGATATTAAATGAAACTATTTTTTACGGATTTTATCGCGTTTAATTTAACTTTTTAATTCCTCACGTTTCAGGTGCTTAACAGCACCCATGGTCATGGGGGGACTGAGGTGTTTGACGTCCCAATGTGTGTGAATTTTTGGTCTGATCTACGCAGGACGAGCTTATAGTATCTTGAACACTGCAAACTTCTTGCACCAACGTTCCGGGAAGTCTGCAATGTGTGAACATGTTCAAGAATGTCCCCACCATTACATTAGATTTGATAGACTACAAATCCTTGCAAAAGAACACCAATTCCCACCAAGGATGATTTGTGAGGCTATTGAAATTAAAAAAAAACATCCTAATTTCAATAGAGAAGATGGATGGGTGCTGCCATCTGCTTGGGATCTTATAATTAATAAAATTAAATCCAAACCCAAGCATACTACTGCAAGACTTCAAGATACTATAAGCTCGACCTGCGTAGATCGGACCAAAAATTAACATCCAAAAACTTAAGGTAGCCGGGCTAACTATGACATAGGGACGTCAAACACCTCAGTACCACCCGTGACCATGGGTGCTGTAAACCACCCGAAACGTCGGGAATTAAAAAGTTAAATTAAACGCGACAAAATTCGTAAAAAATAGTTTCATTTAATGTGTAGTCTTCACGTAAATATAAGAAATCATTAATCATCTGATATATTGATTATTTCGTAAAGTTTTAAGTATACCGTCAACTGTGGCAACATTACCATAATTTTTGACTTTTTTGTAATTTACTCCAACATGGAGCTAGTTGTGTAAGTTTTTACTGATTTATTTTGTAAAAAAGGTGTCTTTTTTTGGTTGAACCAGATCTCACGTAGAAAATCGTTAAAATAACCAAGAGTATGAGTGAGGTAAAGTTGACACATTTTTGGCAACTTTACCTAGCCTACAGTTTGCATTGTGTGTCCCAGAGTGCACGCGAGTTACAAATGATCCTGGCGCTAAAAAAGCGATGTATTTATTTTTGAAGCTACCATCTTTGTTTAAGTAAGCAATACCAATACATAGGCAAAATTGCCCCACGAATTTCAAAATTATCATAGAAACAGGTGGATGTTATTTGGGTTGTCAAAAAATAATAAAACATTAAAAAAATTTTTTAAATAATTATTAGTGGACCAAACAATAGGAACTTTTGTTTATGCATTACAGTTTAATACCTATTTTAAACACAGTAACAAAAACTATTATAGAAATTAAAACTTTGCCTAATAAGAGTAAACAATTAAATACTATCAAAAATATTCGAGTAGTAAAAAAAATCTCTAAAAACTAAAACAACTCTCTAAAATCTGTAACCAAAATACACAAAATAATCATATTATTGGCCAGTAACAGCATCTCTTCAGAGTAATTTTTGAAGTTACAAAAGTCCCCCAAATGTCTTTTCTTTGTTTGAAACAACTTTTGGAGGCATCTTGGATATATCTGAAATAGGTACTCAGGCAAATTTGATACTTATGTATTTCAAGTTACTGTTCTGAATAATTGAATGAAATCTTAAAACGGTTCCCTCATAAAACCAGATTGCCTATGTGTGCTAAATTTGACAACCCTAGTCACAGGTAAAGTTGTCTTTGTGCTTAGTGAGGTAACTTTACCTAACCTCAAACAATATTAACTTTTCCAATAACTCGAGAAATAGAAGATTAATAGGATTGAATCATTACGATACTACTTATTAACAATATATCCTATACTATTTAATATAAGCCACTTATCGTACTTTGATTTTCTGTAAGAAACACCAATCTTTATGTGATGACACTTCGAACATAATTGACTACATAGAATGAAAAAGCACACTATTTTGACAATTAACGAAGTTGCAAACTTGAAAAACTTTTTTGGATACCACAATTTATTATATATAAAATCCACCAATATGTCTTAAATTGCGTCAACTGCTACAGACAAAATAATATTTAATGGGAACTAGTATAGGGTATTGTTAGGTAAAGATGCCCACGGAAAGTAAAGATGCCACAGATGACGGTATATGATGAATAAGTAAGAATTGTGTATATTATGTAAGCCTAATAAATGTAATGCTGGGCTGTAAATGAAGATTTGTTGCTGGCTGGCTATTGTCTAAATCTAAAAATGTGTCTAATTGTGGTGTGTATTCATATACATGTGGAATAAAGAACAATTGAAATACTCCTCCTCCTTTTAGAAGTCTGTTAAAATATTTACACATGTCATTTGCCAATGAGCAGAACTAATGGAGAACTAGTGAACACACAAATAATTGCTATATACATAGTACAGATTATAACTTAAGTATTTAAAGTAGAAAAACTAAAAATTAATTTAAACTAAAGCAGTCGACTTCCTATCATCTTAAGTATCTGTCTAATTGTTTGTATTACAGGCAGTTGGTGATCTGATTGACTATAACAGAAAGTATTTGCGTCTATATGCCACACACGAAATAAATGTAGCTGGATCAAATTAATGAAGCTTAATGGATTCACTTGTGTAGTTTTTGCATAATTGCATTTTTAAGTGTTAGGTAAGGTAAAAATAATAGAAATTAATCTTCTCACGAGTCTGACAAGAATGTTCATTTTAAATTTATCATGATTTTTCAGTTTAATGAATTATTTGAAAGCAAAATTTTGTCACATGTTAAACTATTTTTATATAGCTTATGTCAATCTCAATATGTTATAATTTTTTAGGTTTAAATTAATTTAATGACCCACAATGATAGAAAGATATAAGTACCATGATGTATTTTACGACTTTACTGTAACTGTGGTATATAGGTACCTACCATTCATGTTTTAGATAATAAGGACGCAATTCGTAATAAAATTATGAAAGATAATGTGTGTGATTTATTTATACAAAATTGGTGAATATATTTGCTGGATTTACAGATAATAATAAAAATACTGCTATTGATGGGTCACACTTCATGTAACAAATGGTAATTAAATGAATAGATAGTGATCTTAAACTTAAAATTAAAGCTTACATAGTTTATTTGGTAAGGATAAGTTAGATTGACATAAAAATATGACACTTATGATTGACATATAATAGATGATAAGTATTTATAGGACAACTATAGTTGAAATTCATTAGAGTTTGGGACATTGCAAATGTTTTCTACTGTTTTAATAAATTTGATAGAATGCTATGTTGTTTCCGATACTAGTAATTGTTTTAATTTAGTTAAAAAGCTAAGTATTGATGATGCATCATTAATACATAGTTGAAGCAAAATTATGAGCAGTTAAATAAAGTGTCATTAGATACCAAGTGGAAGCAACCTGATGGATAGGAAATCTTGGGAAGGAGTTGTTTATTTACTCAAAGTATTTTTTATAAAATTGGTGTGTAGTGTCGTTCTGAACAACTTGATTGATTGAAGTCATATTCACACCTTGAATTTATTTTGTTTAGGCTGTTTTATAGCTAGGATCCGATCCTATGCGATGTAGTCACGTTATTAACAAATTCTACATTTAAATTAATGTTCTGAAATAGCTCATATTCAAAAATTATGTTGGTATAGTGTCTAACATATCACAAAATCTTACCCTATAGGTGGCACTGTAGCACAGCTATTAATAAATGTTATATTTACACTGTAAAAAGCTTGCAATGAATTTGGAGTAAAACTCATCACATCCCCTACCTGGCAAAATAACTGCTCTGTGTGCTTCTGCTGGGTGAACTAGTATAGATTTTATGACTCCGATGAATGATATGACTGTCAAATACTATCTTAGATAACTTACTTAATTTACAAATTTAGCTAATTTTACATCTCAATAAAGTAACTGGTAGAGAATCTTAAAGTTTTGTACTTGCAGGAATAAAATGGCGGAGTTTTATCAGTAATATGTAAAAACCAAAAAGAATAATTCACCTAAGTCTTATTTCTCTTTGTGTTCCATGCCAAATTCTACAAAATAGAAAGCTTATGAAATTACCACAATATCTTTCACAGAGGTTATTTTAAGTGTTTCACATAACACTCAAATATGAAAGTAGTAATTAAAACAAAGATATAATAATTTTATTTATATGCATATTTTAAGAGCATAAGGATAAAATGTTTAAAATCACTGTTTCCAGTTGCTTTAAACAAGCAATACATAATTTTGGTGGGTGGGTTGCCAGTGACATAATACACAGATCGATGTTAATAAAGAATGATTTGTGAGAATCATGATAATTAAATTGACACGTCAAATTTCAGGTAATGTTAGATTCAACTTCATATTTCACAATAAATAGTGTTGCCAGAATATGAGGCTGGTGAGTCCGCACACCTATGGTACCATACCATACGTACTTACTGTGTAAAACTGTACTGTGTTTTTACGGTTCAAAAATGTCTAATAGCTTTAATAAGAATTTATTCTATTAATAATATAGAGATGCACAGCTGGCGTTGAATAAAAATAATTTAAATTACTTTACATTATGTAATGAAGAGAAAAAAAAATCATTTCGTAAAACTAACAAAGCCGGACTACTGGACATAATACATAAAGAGGCCTTTCATATGAAAGGCTTATTTCTGTATTGTCAGGGGCGGATTTCAAGAAGCCTAGGTGCATCAGGAACTGAAGTTGTCTTGTCATGTCTTAGTGTTCCAATAATTTTAATTTAGTAAACGCCATCCATTTACATTTTGTATGTAAATAAGGCAATTTTACATAAATGACATTATTAAACCCTGGAGCTTCAGCTCCTGTTGCTGCTTTCCACTTAATCCGGCCCTGTACATACCAAAGCTTTCAGTATGAGAACCAAGAAGCAATATTGTTGATTTGTTGATGATAATGAAAAATAAATGAATACCAGATTATATAAGACAGGCACCACAGAATGCATTTTAAAGTTCTCTTTACATACCAGCACGAGTTTTGAAGATAAATTACATAAATATAACAGGTAAAGGCGTTTTATTATTTCTAATAATATTTAGTTTAAAATAGTAAAATTAACAGACTAGCTGAACTTTTGTCTTCATTACTTCAAATGTATCAACTAATCGAACTTACTTTATCATATTAAATATAAAATGATATAGACAAGAAAATAAAACATAAAAAGTGTGTGTTTGTTTGAATACTTAAGAGATGTTCTAATCTAAATTTAAGTTCTAATAAAATATTCAATAGGAAGGCGATATAAATGTGTAGGAATATTAACAATGAGGGCAAGGAGGAAGGGCACTTTGGAATGAGTTGAATTGTTAGGAATATTTCTGAAATATTAAAACTTTCAAATAAATTTGTCGGTGTGATACGCGTGCCACCTACTGTTTGTGTGCTATGCTTTATTTTATTACGCTATGCCTATATCACGTTCGGAAGTGCAAGCAATGTGTTGACAAAGTTTTACCGCAATTTGATGAATGGTATCGCATAACATACGAACAAAAAAACATTAATATTTATATACTAGATTACAAGAATAATTATTGAAAGTCATTTAAGCTGGAAAAACCAGCAAGAAACACAGCTTTTAAATATAATTAATTTACAATATATTATTTTGTACAATTAGTATGAAAACATTTAGAAACGGTCTGGTAGCGATCACTTCATTTAGTAGGGTTATATCAATCAATTATATACTCTATAATCTTTACTAAAAAATTTGGTTTAAAAATATTTTCTGGGACTTATTATTACATATTTTATTGTTCAGTGTTTAAAGGTATATACACTCAAAATCGAACAACTTTTATTTGTAACGCATCTCCACTTATATTGCAAATAACTTCCACCTAGGTCCCAACTAACCTATTCTGGTAAGCGGTCAATTATTAGCCGTCATTGTACCATTGTTAATCATTTGTATTGAAGTTTAGTTGCAGGTATATCTATGTTATAATTACAATCGTTTGTGGCATAATACATTATATAATATCAGCAAGATAAAAACAATATGCGAATGAAAATACCAAGAAATGTATGTGGTTAAGAAATCAATAAAAATTAGAAATTGAACACTGCTGCTATATTTTAAACAATTTTGCTCTCTCTGACATAGTGTAATGTAAGGTTTAAAACCTATTGTCAAGACCAAAAATTTCGTTTTAGAATAATAATAATTTCTAGTCTGTTAGTTTTTAAGTTATGTCAGACTAGTAGGTAACATATAATCAGTAATTAAATAAACATATACCTAATATTATATATCTCGTAAAATCATAATACTTTTAATGGATTATTTTTGTAGTTATTATGTGTATCATTTTTAATTAATCCCAAAACCCAAAGTAAAAGTTTTATTTTTATTTTTTAGGTTATGGTTAAAATGTCATGAGAAACATCATCTCGAATATGTATTTCAACATTCTGCATTCTAAGAAAGAAGATTACTTAAAAGAAGAGGACGCAATATAGAAGGTATGTATATACATAAATTCATTATTTACATAATACTTAGCGCACATGACAGGATTGGGCTTACATACTCTTCTAACTTCACTCTCTAAATGTCATTTTTTGTAACATTGTTATTTATTAAATAAATATTTGTTAAACATAGAGAAATTTATATATTGAATGTTTATTTTAAGATAATATTAGTGACACCGACCAGTTGGATAGGATTAATATGGCGTTGTTTAGATATAATTTTTTTTTTGAAAAAGTTATGTTATAGTTTTTCAAATAAAATATTGCCCAGATCCCTCCAGGCATTACTATTTATGTGTTAGTTAAGTTTCATCACAATCAGTGCAGCCATTTCGAAGATTTATCCCAGACAGACGGACAAAAATTTTAAAAATAATTGTTTATGCCTTGCAAATAACCCCCTGAATTTAATAGAAGCCACTTATTTCAATACTAGCTGTGCCCCGTGGTTTGGATTTTTAAAATCATGTTCCAGAGATTAGCGTGTTTAAATAAAAACCTCTAACGCTTTATTATATTAATAATAAAAGTTATAGATTACAGCAGACACTTCATTTTTATTTATATGTATAGATTATAATAATGTCGAGACACTGCGACGCGCTTTAATTACGTTTCAAAATATGGTCCAGAATTGGTGTCCCATAGAGATACAGATTCAAAGATTTGTACCATCATGTCGGATAAAGATTGGGAAGTTGTGCATGAAGTTGTATTCACTTTAAAAGTAATCGATCCATTCAAAAAGAATTTTAAAATACTCAATATATATTTTTGAAAGAAAGAAGGTTCACTAAGAAATATAATTTCAATATGACGAACATTTCCTGATGATTTGATGACAGAAAATTTTAGATATCTATTTTGAAAAATATCTGTCAATATACAAGAAAATGGTGAAATTCGTCGTGAAAAATCAATTTTCACGACGAATTCATATTTATAGACCACGTTAACTCAGATACTCACAGATACTTAAATAATGCCCTCTAGACTGAATTTCGGTCACAATGAACAGTCTCAACGGAGACTAGCCATCTGCGCAGGACAGGATTTTAGTGCACGAGTGTTTTCGCAAGCACAGGTGCACTTTCTATTCCCTCACTCAGTCCGATGAGACGGCAATCCGACACGTCTGGAGAGAGATCAGGACCAACGGCTTTATGAACTTTCCGAGATATGGGAATGAAATATTGCCGACTTGCGAGTCCCAAGCTGCTACTAAGACCTTGACAGAAAAAGCCAATAACTGATTTGGGCCAGACGCCCTGTTTCGGGACCTCATGATCAGTACTTGCCTTTACGACCACTAAGCCAATGAAGCAGTTAATTATGGCAAATATGTATGAGGTTCTATTATATGGGGGAGAGGTTATGTGTGTACGCGTCGTAGCCAAAGCTTTAATTAGCCTTTCAGTTAACAGCCTCTA